CTATGTTCATTTAAGAATACACAACCAGTAAAACTCCACATCATGTACAACTGCAAGAATGGGATCCTAATTAGAATAAGCTATACTATATGCATATGTCAAAATACACTCTAGAGTCATGCATATCTAAAAAGAACAAAAAAGAAAGAGAAAAAAATAAAAAGAGAGAAGAAAAAAGAATTAACCAGAATTTTAGAGTCTGTTGAAAGTCTCATGTATTGCCTTTTGGCGGGGCAGAAGAATTCTATTTATTGTCATGTCCTCTTTCTCTTCAACCTTCAAAACTTTATGCCATCCCCTCTCGTTGTCAAAATAACCCCCAAAAGCTAACAAAAAAAATTCTAGGAAATATAGACCCCCAGCTCCTCCCTTGTGAACCAGGAGAAAGAAAAAACATTGGTATAAGGCAGAGTTGAAAACAATCAGAGTTGAAAACAAGCCTACCCATAGTTAATTCACCATATTTGTATTTCACTGAATGTAAGAAGCAATTATAAGATGAACCATTAAATTCTTTAGCAATTAATAAAGAAGAGATTTTGCCAGTTACACTTTGAATTGCTATTTATTGTATTTTACCCGGATTTTAAAGGCATCTAAATGTGAAAAAAAAAGTATGTGTAAGTAGGTGGAATGCAGTAATTTCCAAAATGTCAATAGTAACCACCACATCACACTTCCACCTGACACTGTGATTATCCATTGCACAACTGTAGACAAGGATTGCTTCTCCCGAAAAGGGGAAAACCCAAATCCCACTGGGAACCACGTGTAACTCTGTAACGTTCATGTCTCTTTGAGTCATTCTACTTTTATTAATCTACAAACTAAATTGTAAGGGCAACCATTATTTTTAAGCATGGTTGACTTGCTTTGGCCAATGGGACAGTGAGAAACGTGAAGCAAACAAAATCGAACAGGTCATGCGCACTTGTACCTTACTCTTTGATGGCTCTTGGAATCCTGCTACTGATATCTAAAGAGGCTTGGCTTAGACTTATAGGTGATAAAACACATGTGGCCCAGTCACCTTTTTATAGCTTTGCATCTTCCTCAAACTCCGGTGTCAATGCAGGCATGTTCAGAGGTGTGATAACTGGATGGCAAGAGCTGTAACCTAAGCAGTCTATCCTAGTTTAAATGGACTGACTGGGTGGTAACTGTAGGCAGGTGGAGCATGGCTGGAGGAGGTGAGTCACTGGGGCATGCCCTGGAAGCATTCATCTTCCCTGCAGCCCCTTCCCCTTTCTCTCTCTGCTTCCTGCCCACATGAGCTGAGTAGATTTCCCCCGCTGTGCCCTCAGCCATGATGCTCCATCTCACTTGAGTCCAGAGTGATGAAACTGTCTGATCATGGAATGAACGCCTGAAACCATGAGCCAAGATAAAACTTTTCCTCCTCTAAGTTGTTCTGGTCCAGTATTTAGGTCACAGGGATTAAAAAAAAAAAAGACTAACGGATACCTTAATGATCAACCCGTCAACCACCAGACATGTAAGTAAAGCCAACCTAGACCTATCATCTGCCATCTGAAATCCCAGGTGACTCAAGACTCAGGAGTGATCCATCAGAGATCCACTTACGTGGATCAAATCAGACTTCCCAGCCAATCCACAGAGTTTTGAGTTAAACCAGTGTTTGGTTTTATTCTTTAAGTCTTAAGATTTGGGGTCATTTGTTATATAGTAGAAACAAACTCAAACCCAAACAGGTACTGGCAGTGGAGTTGCTGCTATACCCAAGTCAGAAACACATGGTGTTAGCTTTGGGAACAGGAAGCAGGTGGAAGCTGGAAAAGTAGCAAGGAAATTGTTGGAAAAGTCTAGAAAAACGATGAGGGCACTAAGAGGATGGAGAAATAGCAACTCCTGTTATGTACTTATGAAATGTTTGGCAAAACTGTTGCCTGTCATAACCTGGAAGTTTAAAAATTTACTTAATGACCTTATAGACTTTAGCAAGGTGATTTTTAGAAAGTATATTGAAAATGTCAGTTGGCTTCTTTTAGCTGCTTGTGATAATTTATGGGAAGGGTATGATCTGAATGTTCACGTCTCCCTAAAATTCAGGTTAATATCTAATCACCAACATGATCATAATAGTAGGTGAGGAATTTTAGGAGGTAACTATGAGGGTAGAACATATATGAGCAGGACAAGTTTCCTTATAAATTGGCCTAAAGGAGCTAGTTCATTCATTCATTCCACCATGTGAGGACACAGTGAGAAATCAGCAGTCTGCAACCTGAAGGTCAGCCCTCACCAGAATCTGATCAAACTGACATGTTGATCTTGGATTTTCCGATCTTAAAACTATGTGAAATAAATTTCTATTGTTTATCAACTACCCAGTTCGGGATATTTTGTTATAGAAGCCTGAATGGACTAAGAAAGAAAGAGAGATAAGTAAAAGAAGGAATTGTTTCATTTTAAAGCAACAATAGGAATATAGAAAGACTAGGAATTTTGAGGTTAGAAAATAAATCTTTCTCATCTGTGGGCTCTCAGACCAGTAAAATATTCTCAAAGTAATAAATAGCTTGAGAGTAAAGAGCTAATAAAACATCACAATAAGATGTTTGTTAGGACACTTTGTTAAGACCTCTGTAAAGGAATGTTTGATAGAAACTTTGAAGTAGATAAAATAGCTTCTAAAATTTTTCAGGTCTTCTCCAACAGAAATGTAAAACACTCAAAGTAGAGATGGACATGTTTGCAAAAGGGTTGTGGTAGAGGCTTTTGAAACATAGAAGAGATTTGAATTAGTTTCATTGGAAACCCTTGAGGTTTTTAAGAAAATTGCATTGTTAAAAGCTCTACCATTTGGACATTAAGGCATAGGATGTGCCCATATGGGAAGCAAGAGCAGTGTTAGGGATAGAGACAAACAGCTATGGGAGGCCAAAGATACGTAGGCTAAATGGGGGGATCTAGGAGTAAAGATAACAGCAGTGAACAAGAGCTCTGGAGGTCAAGTGTTTTTTGGTTGGATTTTCCCCTGAGAAGTGTTTACTTTTCTAACACTGATTCCTTGCATGCTGGTCTCCATAAAAACCAGCAGTTCTGAGAGCTTCAAGTAACCAACTCTGAGCACCACTGGGACCCAGACAGCTGACAAGACCGGGGAGTGTTGTTGTTGCTTTCGAGATCTCTGTTGTGCTGTGGAGTATGGTTTTGTTGTCAGTTCCTGCAGGTATTTCTACTGAATCCTAACTCCTAATCACTCCTGGCAGGATTTGGTGTTCCCGATTCATGCCACTTTGAAAGCCCCACATCTCAAGGGTCAGGGATGCCCTCCTGGAGTCTGGTATATAGTCTTGCTGTATTTTGTTATGTTGTCTTAGAATTTTATATTGTCTTAAAAATGCAATTTTTCCGGCTTCTCTTGAGTCTTCCCCTTGGTAATCGCTGCCCCAGCGGGCCTGCTCTGTGGAACATGCTCATTTAATTTTGTTTCTGCTTGACCAAACTTATGTTGACAGAATTCCCAAGAAAATATTGTTATGCCCTTTGTCTTGTTTGGAGATACAGACGTTGCATGGGAAAGGACCCGGCCCTGGGACCTTGTCTCTTACCTACAGGTGTCCCAAGGGCTTTGCTTTCATGAGCCAAGCTGCAGTGTACAAAGATGGTGCCGATCTGGAGGGTGGAGGGAATGCCTAACTGTGAGAAGAAAGACTCAGCCTGACTCATGCACAGGTTAAATTTATTTGGGACACAAGAGTTTTAGAAAGCAGTCACCCCACTATTGTAGATCTTCCAGGGATAGGGAATAGCTGAACACGGGATTCATGGATTCACAAGAAATCTTCTGGGCTGGTCACCAGGTTCACTTGTCAATCTCCATTCACCTTTTGAGATTAGTATTCCTTTAAAATTAAATGGGATTCCATTAAAATTAAAAGCCCCACATTATTATTTTTCTTCACCATTTCCTAATAACCTGTATGTCCATCCCGACTTCCTCATGCAAAGAATGGAAACTGAGGAATTGCTCCCAAATCCTGGACAGGCACCAGCAGAGGTTAAACAACCAGGATAATATTCTCAGGCTAGTAAGGCCTGGTAACTCCCTGGCTTTTGTTCCCATAAGTTGTGTTTCTGTAAGACAAACGGATACAAAGTAGCTGCCTTCCCAGTTTTGGCTGAATGGTGATTACATTCATTTTTTTTTCTTTTTATGTTTCCTCTTATTTCTGATGCAGGTGGGCAACTGAATCCAGTGTACTTGAAACCCAGCAGGGACTCTGGCTGGGGAACCGGTGACATCATGGCTGCCAGAGCCACTCTTCTGAAACACAAGTTTGATCAGGACATTTCCTCTGCTTAGAAACTGCCAGCTGCTTAGCACTGACACTGTGGTAGGCAGCTCACCGCTCTTTGGATGAGGACTTGTAGTGTCCCTCCCCACAACCTCCACCCTCACGGTGACATTTACCCATTACCATCATTTTCCCATCTTCCAGGAAAGCTCCGTTTCTCCCACCAGCTGGACTGCCCTTCCATGTCTAGCAGATTTTGTGCATCTTCAAGCTCTCGCTTCCATGTTCTCCACTCTCTCATGACTGCCCCCCACACCCCCACACTCTTTGCTCTCACAGAACTTAGTAGAAATCTAAACAAAGCACCAGGTTGTGATATGGGTTTGTTCCCCAACCTGGTTTACGTTGGCCTTTTTATCTCAACTCTAGCCCATGCCTGCCTGACATAGGAGGTACTCAAATACACTGGTGTTCCCATTTCTTCCCTTCTTCCTCCTAGGATCACCTACTTTCCTGGAAGAGTTAAGGTACTTCCGTTGGGGTAGAGGAAAGAGAGTGAGCAATTCTAGTTCATGTCCTTGTGAATCTAAGGTCACAGATACTTGTCTCCCTTGAGCTCCTTGGGGCTGTCATTGAATAGGGCTTCTCTTCTAGGACAGGGCTATAGATAACGCAACCAGGTTGTCTTTCTATCATTTGCTTCCAACTTCTCTCTCCTGGAGTCTTGCAGACTTTTGAGAACAATGGACAAGGTGGCATCTGTCTGCCCTAGAAAAGCCCACCAGGAACTGGTCTGCCCGCATGGAGCCCTTGACTGGTTTATACTCACTGTGAAAACAGCTTTCTGGCAGGTATGACCACAACCATTGCTGCAGCACTTCATTCCCCTGGGACATGAATCATCTCCTGAGCACAGTTCAGCACAAGTCCCAACTTCTCCTTCAGGCACGCTAGGGCATTTTCCAGAGTGTTGCAGTTCTGAAATGAACAATGGTGTTTTTGGAACCTGGAGCGATCACAAGGACAGAGAGGAGAACCGATGCTGGAGGTCTGAAGCCCTCGTCACCACAGGGCTCAGTCTTCTTCCTTCCCTTCCTTGGTGCTCCTGGACCCCCTCAGATTCATCAGCACCACTGTCCATTTTAAGTCCTTATGCTCACAGTCTTGCCCTTGAGAGAATGTTCTTGGAGCTCTAAAGCCTGCAGAGATTCAACAGGAAAGAACCTGCACTGTCATCCTGGAAAACCTCTGATGTAAGACAGCCACCTGCCTACCCTGCAGAAATCTGCGTTCACCTCAGAGCAACTGACCCTGGGAGTCACATCTAGGGCACATCTCCTAGTTAGGGAGATCCCTGCCCCATTCTCTACACCCAGCTTCTGTTGAACTCTACTCACTCTCATAAGGATGGGAAATGCAGGATAATCTCTCCTACAGGTCAAAGGAAATAAGTCTGATCCATGCAGTGGGCATGTGCCTGCCTCCCAGACTACCCTCAGGCTCCAGACTGGGCTCCCAGCCTTCTCTCCTCTCAACTGGTATCCCCCCAGCATAATCCAGGAGAGAAGAAAGCTTGAGGACTAACGGAGACAAACAATATTAGATGCTGTGGAGGTTGAAGACTTTGCAATTGAGAAGTCAGGGGATTTGTCATGGGGACCATGGGGGGAAGCTTCAGGTGAATAATGGGGGCAGGAATCCACAGCCTGGAATCCTGCCCCCATTATTCTCCTGAAGCCATTATTCTCTTCAAGCTGTTAGGAACCAAGTTACAGAGAATTAAGAATACTCCTTTGAAAATGGTGGTGGTAAAGGGAGAAGAAGTCGTGATGGTTCACGTTTAGCATGCTAAAGCAAATATTTTCTCCAGATAATTCAAGAAAGAAGCTAGTGAAGAGGGAGATGGAGGATGGCTGATGAGGGGACAGAAGGAGAAGAACAGAGAGTCCAGATGGAGGAATGAACCGGGAGAAAGAGAGAGAGAAAGCAGGGGCAGGAGAGAACTCCTGCTCAGGGAAGCTGAGTGGTGGCCACCAAAGTGTGTGTGTGTGTGTGGGGGGGGGGTCCTTTCAGTGTCTCTTTAAGGAGAATCTTTCCTCCTTCTCCCCCTTCCTCCTGCACACACTGGTACCTGAAATTCTACTTTCTAGAGTTTTCATTTGAAGAAGAATAGGGCCGCTTTCTGGCTGGACTCACCCAAAAGTTGCAATGGTCTCACTGCAGCCTGAAGCTCCTGTAACTCAAGGCTGAGGAAGATGAGTGCCACAAGGAGAAGGCAGCCTCCCAACTTCATGTTGCTGTTGGAAGTCTTAGGTGCACATGTGGCAGGGCTCAAGAGCAGCTGAGATTTATACCCTTCCACCCACTGAGCTGGCATGCAACCAGGGCCTATGAACTGTGGAAACCTAAGCGCTGCCCAGAAACTGGCATTGCGGGAGACCACACCATACCTGACCCAGGAAACACCATGTTATTTAAGCAAGCTTCTGTGCCAAGGGAACACCCTCCTCTACCCAACAAATAGGACTCCTAAACTGGGAGAGCTAGGGTAGGGTGGGTGGGGTGGGAAGATGGGCACTAACCTTCATTACGTGCTTCCATTCAATTTTTCATCTTCAACATTAGTATTAAATGTCTGCTGTGGGCCAGGTGTGTACTACGTGTGTGGAGTATGTCCAGAGAAATTCCAATCTAGGATCTGGGTACCAGGTAGCAAGGGTGCCACCTGCTCTTGCACTTCTCCCCTCCCTGCTCCCAACTTTCACCTCTCTAATTGAGAGCATGGGGAGCTATCAGAGGTGCTTCCCTATCCCTGCTGGTGACACAGTGGGCTACCTTATTCTCCCTCTGCCTTCGCCTGATGCTCTCTGCTGCTGGGCACCTGGCAGGTGCAATGGTCTTTGCCTGAATGATATATGTCATTTTCTTGAGATAGAGTTCCACTTCACCTTGTTTAGAAAGTAGGGTATTTCATGTTTGAGACCCCAGATTTCCTATATACATGTTACTCTCCTAGGGTGCCTCTCATCCTGCAGTCCTGGAGTGGGAGGTGGAATGGGGTGTAGAAACCAACCAGCTTAGGAGTGAGATTTCATTTCCTCCTTCTTGCAGAAACTTCTGATCTAGATGAGTGATTTTCTAAAATACTCTCTTGCTTCCCCAGTGATTCTAGGGGGGAGGGCATGTACAACTTGGCCATGAATTATGTCTCTCAAGATATATTAATGTGAGATAAAGAAGATGTTTGGGCTGGTTAGAGGTAGCAGGATCAGTTTGCAGCCTCTTTATAGGTTCCTGGGGAAATGGTTGACTTCAGTTTAGAAAGTAGGGTATTTGAGTTTTACTGGGTTCCTAGTTCTCGGACTACAGGAAAAGACCCTCCCTATTATAGTTCATTTGTCACAGTTCCTGAAATGCTGCCAGGTGTGGTCCTTTGGGTAAACAATTGACCTCATAAATCCCTAGTATTTGAGAGAGTTAAGAGTTACAGTTATAGTCCATGCATAAAGCAGTTTGCAAACTGTCTTTACTCAATTCTATCTAGCTCAAAACTGAGGTTAGTTAGTATTTTATTTTTCTAACAGGACTAAAGCCTGATAAATACCTTTAGAGACCCTAAACACTGAGAAAGTTATGATGATATCTACATATGTAATCCAGATTTTTTTTAATATTTATTTTTTGGTTAGACACGATACCTTTATTTTGTTTATTTATTTATTTTTATGTAGTGTTGAGGATCAAACCCAGGGCCTCGCGCGTGCCAGTCGAGCGCTGTACCGCTGAGCCACAACCCCAGCCTTGTAATTCACATTTTTAAAATACTAAAACTTGAAATAGAAATATTTTTTTGAAATGAAACAGTATGTTGAAATTAAGCTAATTTTTTTGGAGGCGATGTCTCCATCTGATTTCAATTTGGGTGTCCTAAGCATGTGCTCATTTGGCTCTGTAGGTTGCTCAGAGCCAAGTGGGACTTTCAGAACCTTGGCAATGGCTCCCACCTGCCTGCTTGCCTCCTCTCTTGCTTCAACACACTCCCCACCGTTCCTGGACTGGTTTCTGTACCTTTCCTAGTACATCACGTTTACTAACACAGCCAGGCTGTTCTTTGAACTTGAATTTCTTTGTTTCCTTTCTTCTCTGTATAAAAATCATTTTTATTCTTGCCGCAGTCTGGCTGCAGCAAAATAACTGGGGGGTGATTAGCAACTTGTGCACATTGATACAGCAGGAGTGGGAGCCTTTTATTGTAGGACAGGAGGGGTATATATACATTCCACACAGCTCATCTTAATTTACATAAACTAGATACAGCACTCAACCAATAAGGAATCTCCACACTTAATAGCTCGCTGGCACCACCTCACTAAGCACTCCCTCTGGCAAAATGCCAGGCGCCATCCCGACTTGTTTACAGACCCTAACATATTCTATCAATTTTTAGCCCCAAATGTAATGTCTGAAACTTTTCTCAAGTCCAACACCTGGGAGAATAACTTTCTCTTGGCATTTGTCATAGTTCTTATCATGAATATTAGACTTAATTACTATTATTAGTATTTTATTATTATTATTATTATTATTATTTTACATTTCTCTTCCTTGAGAATCTTGATGGCTGAATGGGGTCTTATTTATCTTTTGTCTTTAGTGCTCAGTGATGGGTACATATTATTCTCAGTAATTATTAAATGAACACATGTTAGAAAAAGAGAAAGAAATGAAGGGGGATTTTGGTTAAATACTGGGGTCAACAGAACAATGTTAGAGTGGGTGGGATTTGGGGAGCAAGAGAGATGATGGGTCTGCATAGGTACCATAAGTGTGCAGAGTGGAAGTTTCAGAAAGACACAACTGGCAGGAAAGACAGCTTTGGAGCTGAACACGCTTCCATCTGAATCCTGCCCTGAGGTCACTTTCGGGATATGTGATTATAGGCAAGTATTATTATCAGGGAATGAAGAACTGCATTCATTTTTTCAAAAATACTCTTGATGATCTACTGTGTGCCACAACCTATGCTAAATGCTGGGGATGTGGTGGGAGTAGGACAAGCACGGCACTTGCTCTCATGGAGCTTCTACTCTGAGGAAGGAGATAGAGTAAACACACATTCTCCAGAAACAATGTTGGTATAAAAGACAGAGACTATTGATCACATAAATTTGAAGTGCAAACCAAATGTCACCCAAGTCTACCAAGAGAAATCCCATTTGCATTTGCACAAATGACTGGGCTTTCCACCTATCCTAGAAAGAATCAGCAACCTCCAAACCGTTCCCCAGTTGTTGATGCATGATTGTCCTACCTGGATTTAACTGTACTGTGGCTATTTTATGCTGCCAGTTAAGTAAACATTTAACTGTGGTTCAGTAGACATTTCTTGGTCTATAGCACCTCTAGATTTTTTTTTTCTCTTGTATCAACTAAGAAGCTTAACAAGACCCATGCCTGAATAAAAGCCCATCCCAGATGTGAGCCAAGGGTGTAACAATCCATTAATGTTCACTTTATTCCAGGTTAAACTCTTCACAGATGTTCTTGTGTTTTTTTACTCCCAATAAGATAGTGAGATGGTCTGCCAGGTAAGACTCCAAATGCCAAAAAGGAGAACTTCGTATGAAGATTCAAGGGGGAAGTTTCTGCTTTATTTTCACATCTATTTAATCTTTCACACTCTGCTGAGCTTCTTCCTGTTTCTCAAGCCATTTGGTGAGAGGAGAGTGATCATCAGAATGAGGACGGAGAGAATTTGGTTGGCCCAGTTTGAGCTAGGCATCTCCCCTACTGTTCATACAAAGCTGCTGAGAGCTCTATGTACATTTTGTGGGTGGGGAGCATTCAGGGAGCCAGTGTAATTAGAATCATATTCTAAATATTTTTCAGTACAGACAGGCATCCCTACCATTATTGACATTTTACAGTTGAGGAAAATTAAGTCACAGAGAGATTTGGTAACATGCTCAAAATAATAGTTAAGTGGCAGAACCAATAGTACACATTATTTATTGTCAGACTAGGTCCAAATTCTTAGAAAATAATTTTTGACTCTTCTCTGGAGTCAAATATTGAGGACATGAAATTTTTCTCCATCTAGCATTAGTGCCTAATGATGATCAAGATTTCATTAGAAGAGGAAAACCTCTTTGAGTTAAGCTAATTTGCTCCAAATGATTTTGAGTGCTCAATCAGATCAAAGGTAGATGATGTCATCCGCCAAAAAGTGTAACTGGGGTTTTATGAGAGCAGAACATGGTCCTATTTTCTGGCTGTGCATAAAGGACATGGGATATGAAAATAAGACTGATGCAAAATAGCATAGTGGTTAGGATTCAGGGCTCTGGAGAGGGAAGATCTGGTGTGCACTGGGTTCTACCACTTGCTAGCTGTGTGACCTCAGGAAAACTAATTTGCTTTTCAGATTCTCACTTCACTCATCTGTAAGCTTGGATCATAGTCCCTACCTTGTTGCTGGGCAGGCTGAATGAACATTAAAATACACATTCATGTTTTTGGCACAGAGTTCTAAAAACTGGCAGATACTATTGTGAATTATTTTTATAAAAGGGAATGTGTACCTTTCTATTCCCTGGTGTAGGGCACATAGCTTATATAAAAGTGTACCAGATCATTAAGGAAATACTCCAAAATAAATAAAGAGGAATCAGAACATGTATGTTATTTTGTTCTCCTGAATACTCAAACTAAGCCATGAAGGGACCCCAGGGCTTAAGCTAGTATTACTGCCAGCTCAACAATTGTGTGTGGGTTAATGGATGTCCATATGGAGATCAAGAAGCTCAGCAGGTAATCATCAATTTCTGACAAAATAGTCATTAGCCAAGGTAGAGTCAATAAAGTCACAATCAGTCTTCTATAAACTTTCCACAAGGTGACAAAGAGCATTGTAATTGTCTAGGGAGACTCTCCCTACCCAAAGGGCTCCTGCTTCCAGTGAGAACTTTCACGGGGTGAGGGCGTTGTTGCCAGCAATGACTGGCAAGTACTTGGCTGTTCCACTTTCCACTCCCCTGCCCCCTACGCTCTGAAACTAGAGCATGAGACCAAGGCTGAAGTTGCTGGCACAGACTTCAGGATAAGATCTGGACACCCAAACAACAACAAGTGCTGGCGAGGATGTGGGGAAAAGGGTACTCTTGTACATTGCTGGTGGGACTGCAAATTGGTGTGGCCAATTTGGAAAGCAGTATGGAGATTCCTGGGAAAGCTGGGAATGGAACCACCATATGACCCTGCTATTGCCCTTCTCGGACTATTCCCTGAAGACCTTAAAAGAGCGTACTACAGGGATACTGCCACATTGATGTTCATAGCAG